ATAAACCAATTTTCTCGCAGACATTCCAGCATCCTTCCAAGCCCGTTTGATGATTGCAGCCTGACCACGTGGGCTTGGGGCTGTGGGATTGACCTTTCCCATACTGCTATCGGAACCTGTTGCAATGCCAGATATGACAGAGTATATTTGGTCACCAGCTTCAATAGCATCCTCCAATCTACGGAGAATGAGAGCACAAACTGCATCTCCAGGAACTGTACCATCTGCTCTATGGTCAAAGGGCCGACAGTGACCAGAAGGGGACCAGAGCTGAGTTTCATCTGTGATATATCCCATTCTGCAAGAATAAATTACATTCTATCAGTTCCAGAGAATGAATGCTTACTGAGGGAAGCTAACAGATACCCCACCAACTAGAGCAATGTCACAGCGCTTAGACCGCAAGTGGTCAACAGCAAGAGACATTGCGACCAAGCCACTTGAACATGCAGTGTTCAGAGTTATATTGGGACCTTGTAAGTTGAGATGATATGCTGTTCGGGCAGAGATGGCTGGGGTTTGATTGAATTGGTCCTTAGATTGATCTATTTCTATGAGATTTCTATGAGATTTGTCAAATATGGGAAGTAGAATTTACCTGAATTCCAAGTCCCATCTGCAGCACCAACATAAACCCCAACATTATTGGGGCCTGTAGCAGGTATTATGTAGTTTGCATCCTGCAGAGCCTCTTCAGCAACGGTCAGAAACAACCAATGTTGTGGGTCCATGTTTCTGTCTTGGAATCAGGATTTAATCCAGCCTTCAGAGGAGTTTAGCTTACCTAGCTTCATCCTCTGGAATGCCCCAATGGGAAAAGTCGAAATAGTTAACATCTAATAATGCACATCGGACTGGGACATGTTTTGTGTCAGGCAAAGTTGCTGATGTGTTTGATGTCTCTGGGAAAAGTGACAAGGCTTCCTTCTGATCCAGCAACAGCTGGTAAAATTCATCTGGATTTGATGCACCAGGGAATCGGCCAGCTATGCCAATGATGGCAACATCTTTATGAGTTGCGGTTGGGATGCACATTTCAACCTTGGGAGGTATAATGATCTGGTTGATAGACTGCTGATTCTCTGCATGGATAAGGCTGGCTTGGGTATCAATAGTGGGGTGTTGGAACAGATCCACAATCCGGATATTAGAGTCAGGCCATTTTTCAAGCATCCTCCGGTGCAAGCTAACAAGAATAATACTTTGGCATCAAGTCAGAGAAAGCAAAGATACTCAGACAACTCACACACCTATTACCACCAGCTTGAAAGAAAGTCATGGATGAAGATACATTTTTGGTGCCTAGAACATCTTTCCAAATCTCTAGAATCTGAGATTCTGTCTCCTGAATGGAAGTTGGCAACACAGGCTCTCTGGAAACCATGAAAGGTGGCAAGACCAGATCATTTGCCTTTATGATCAAATCATCCATAGTGTTTCTGATTAGTGTATGATTGGTCTTGCCATTGACATTGAGTGGCAGATTGGGCAGACAATATATAGTGTCTGGAACCATATATTGTGGTAGATTCAATCCCAACTGTATCTTCAATTCATTTGTATTCACTGTTTCAGGGCTGACAAAGGCACGCAGTGAATGTTCCTGCAGGATTTACTTGAGCTGATGCATTCACCACGTCTGGCATAAGATTGATGATGGCTCGTTCTAGGTCTTCCAAGTTGATTCTGAACAAATGCCCAGTGTGAATTTCAGCTGTGACAGCCAATGCAAATTTTGATTCAACCCACCGATGCCCACGGACTTTGACCTCACGATCCAGACGTCCCAGCAAACAAATACTCCCATCAAGAAGAATTTTCCCATAATCTCTGGTACGATATAACCGGCCAGCCTCAGGATGATTGACAAATCGTATTTCTGTTAGGTGTGGATGGTTGCGGTATCTATATGGGTCAGAATTATACTTAGAGTATCAACAAGAGAAAATTTACCCTCGTCCGACCTGTGGCCCACCAATACATATCTCTCCCACCTCATCAATAGGCATGAGGTTGAGCATTTCGTCACAGATATAGACAGCTGTATGCATGTTGGGTTTCCCAATGATAGTTGCAGAGAATGGTTCCTGATTTCCATGTGGATAAGACTGGTGGGTCACAGCTACCGTGCTGGATTATACTATGAGATGATGAGTAGGACAGGGACAAAAACACACCATTCACTTGGCCCATAAACATTCCAAATATTGGCTCTTACTCGCCATATCTCAATGAGACTGTCTGGAGCCATTTCACCACCAATGAATATTTGGGAGAGGGAAGGCAGAGCCCGATTAGTGGGAAGAGTGGCCAGAACACTTGGAGTTAAAACCATATGAGTTATCTTGTTGGAATCAATCACATCTGCAAGGTAATCACCGACCATTGCATATGGTGACTGTGCAAAGCAGAGAGTGCCACCAAGTGCAAGGCAGAGAGACCATTCAAAAACAGCTGCATCAAAAGAAAAGGGTGCAAATTGAAGGACTCGGGACCCAGAGGTGATAGGGAAGTATCCGGAAGCATGTACACTTGCTACTAGATGAGACAGATTGTGATGTTCAATTTCAACACCTTTTGGTTAACCTAGGGAAAAATAAGTGAATGAGGCTTCCTATGAAAAGAGATCTACCAGGTGCTCCCAGATGTAAACACAATGTAGGCAAGGTCACTTGGTTGTGAAATGTCTTCAAGACTCTCGCTAGGTATGTTGTCCAGATGTATATAGTGTGTGTTCAACACCAAGATATCCAATTGAGCTGCTAATTCCACTATGCTTTCACCTTTTCCATCATTGACAATGAGATTGGGCTGTGAGATTGAGATAACACCACGAGTACGCTCCAATGGATAGGTTTGATCTGCAACTGCATATGCTGCACCTGACTTCAGCACACCGAGAATCCATTCTATCATGGGAAATCCACGACCCAGATACAGTAGAACAACACTGTGACGTTGTATGCCAGATCTCTGTAGCACTGTGGTTGTGTAAATATAAAATACTTGCAAAGCTGAAATCACTCACAGCAAGCAACTTGATTTGATTTCTGGTCAAGTTCACCATAGGTGAGTGATTTATGCTCTTCTGCAGATGCAAGAGCCACTGCTTCTGGATTTTGGGAAACCTGGTGCTGAAACATGGAGTGGAATTGAGTTGCACTGATCTGGTTGGTATCTGTCAAATCAAGGTGGGGAAGGAAGCAGGGGATCTGTGGCAACAGTATTGGGAGAGATGTCAGATCCAGTGGGTCTGTGCCCACAGCTAGATTGAGCAGCTTTTGAAACTCATTCTTCATCCTTGTGACCATGGCAGATGAAAAGAGAAGAGGATCATAGATTACCTGCAAATTACTGTAAGCATCTCATTTGGGGAGAACTGAATTGACTAACCCCAAGCGAGACAGCATCTGGCTCTTCCAGAAAGCAAAAGAACAGATCACAAGCTCCTTCTACTGGATATAGAGAACAGTTTGATGCAAGTTGCGGGCTGAGTGTGATGGCCACTTGAAATTGGGGTGTCTGTAGACCTGCTCTGTTGAGCGAATAACACAAGTCGATAAAAGAGAATTGGTCATGTTTCTTTGCTGTTGAAATCACCCTTGAAACCAACTGTACAAGAACATCAAAAGTGGATGTTTTGGAATGCAAGACTTCTGCCAGTGGTATCAGGATTGGAAGTGCATTCGCAAAATGTCCTATGGTTTGAGTCATGGCCTCTGAGCGCCCTGCAAATGCAACCAGGAGAGCATGATCACCAGAGACTGGTTCAGTATACAGCTGCACAAGCAAGCCTATAACAGCAATAGCAACACGGAACCAGGAAGTTTTGAAACTGTGAACTCCAGCTCTTGAGTTCCTGTTGAACAGTCAAATGGCTTCTATACAATCCTGAAAGTCACCTACATCCTTAGAAAACCGGAACCAGTTCTCAATTTCACGATAATTCATTGACTCTGGACCCTGGGGTGATTCCTTCCACTGAATGGGTATAATTGACTGGCACTGAGCAAGCCAAAAATCCTCTGCAATTTTGAATGCTGAGGATGTGTGGTATGCTGCCTATATATGTGCGAGTTTGTTAATGTTGCATCCTTGAGAGAGGTTCTCACCTCAATCATGTGTGCTATATGAAAAATTGTTGGAGAGTCCAGCCTTGAGGAATAGTTGAATCCAAGACAAATATTGTGCAACTCTGTGGAGAGCACACTCATGCTTATACCATCCATAGCAATGTGGTGTGCCACAAGATAGAGATCAGTAGCTGAGTTTCCCTCCGAGATAATCCACCGCACAGCAAATTGGGAAGATAGGTTTACTGCAGAGTGCAAGATTGAGTTAAGTGTGGTAACACTGGGCCTAGAGAGGACAGAGATTGATGGCTGTGCTGAACAGGCTGCCCACTCGGCTACAAATGGCCTTGCATTCACATTTTGGTCTTCATGGAAAGTTGAGCGAAGGATTCCATGGTAGTGTGTTAGTATATTGACACCTGGGACATATAATCAACGGAGCTCCAGATAAGGCAAGGTAATCTAACCTTCAACCAGCTTTTCAACTGGGTGATGATTGGTGTTGAATGATAGCTTCATGGTCAAATTGTACAGTGTATGCTGTGGTGCAACTGAATAGGCAATCCAGAGGCTTTCCTGAGCTCTTGTCATGGGATAAATTGCAGCCAAGGCAGGAGGGAGGGGTGAGCTACCAGGAGAGAGAGGGATTGTTGTTGGGGCGGGCCCTGTAATCAATGTTAACTGCATGGGAGATTGATGAGCATTGACATTCTACTCCTGACAATTTATACAAGTCGCCAAGACTATGATTAAGCTTGGTAAGCTGGAGACCCGGGTACAATGATAGCATTTAAGCCCTTATCTTTGATTACCAGTATGCGGGACCTATCATTTACTGATTGATGTCAATTTGAGCTGATTTGCTGTGCAAAGCCAATATACTAAAGTTCTAGACTGTTATACACTACTCTTCACAACTATAATGTCTCCGGATTGGTGTAGGGGTTAACATTGCCGCCTCTCAGTCATGTGATTATAGAAGATTACCTAATCTTCGCGGCAGCCCGGGGTTCGATTCCCCGATCCGGAATTTCTTTTTCATCTGTTTTATTCTTTTTGGGACGCGTCTTGTATTTTCAGGAATGCAGTCATCATGTGATGGACCGCGGCAGCCCGGGGTTCAATTCTCTGATTTGGAATTTCATTTTGCATGCAAGGGTCCACTGCAGAATATGTCTTTGCCCATTTCTTTTTTCCAATTTGTTGCGAAGGAGGGCACTCGAGACAAACCACCTCTACCCCTGATCAAGTCCTCCCTCTTTCTTCCCTTCCACCACACCATTCCTCTGTGATAACCAACCCCCCTGTTCCACAACCACCAGATCATGGATGTCAACGCGCAGGGGGGGTACCCTGCCCAGAACCTCGCCTACACCCACTTCCTCCCTGCTTCCTCCCTGCTCCCCGCAAGTGCCAGACAACAGTGATGTCTTGTCGACATCTACCCAAGTGCCATGCTTGTCTGAATGGGACAACACAGGTGCATGCTCTTCCTACTGTGGATGCCCCACTGCTGCCTGCAACCGTGCCACCAGCTACACACCCGACATCAACAACGCCTCCCTCGACAATGCTCCAATGGCCTGCCCCACACGCCGGGCGGCAGGCTGCCACACAGCCTAAATAACACAAGTATACCTCAGTGCCATCCTCTGGCACTGAGGTGCATGCTACTTGTTGTGCTCCTGCGAATGGGGCACAGTCTCTCTTTTACGTCCCGCCCTGAGTACAAGTAGTATCTTGATATTCATCCTATAGCTTTATATTAATCCTTTGTATTCATCCTATACCCTTGTATTCTATACACAACTTGTAGCTTTGTATCTTGTACTGGCTGTGTAATCTTATGGATTGGTGGACTTGTCACTTTCACCTCATTCAGCACATCATGGCAGGTTTTGCCTTACCGAAAGCTTGCCGACCAGCACTTTCCCAGTTTGGAAAGCCGGCGGAGGCGGTTTGTAACCGTCGGAGGAGGGCCTGGAGGCAGTTTATTTGTTTCAAGAATGTCGACAGGTGGCTGTATGATCGCATCACTGCCGGAGCTTCTCTGCTTGTGGCACGACAGCGACTCAGCTCAACGCCTAGTGAGGCTTCGTGTTCCAGTGAGCCTATAGGGATGTGAGCAAGTTTTTTGTACATTTGTTGGATGCTGAGCTCATTTTCATTGCAGCATAGACACATTCTCCGTGCAAAGAACTTGGATAAAATCCTACTTCCTTTTTCATTTCAACGATGACTCAATTATGCTGGCAGTGCGGAGCTTTGCCAAAACCTGCAACTGCCTCCGAGTCGCCAGAGACAGAACCGTTGCACAATTTCCATCACCTCATCATAAGCAACAATGTTCCTCTCGACTCTGAGATCCCATTTATTCGTGGCATCGTTTCGGACGGGCAGAGCCAGGTCGTCACATTGAACTCCCAGATCGATAACCTGCGGGCTGCGATTACGCGGCTGTCTCAAAGAACGCGACAAAATTGCCAAAAACATTTGCCAGCATCGCGCTATTTTGTCGCCCGTCCGCAGGGTGCCACCGGAGTTGGTTTGCGAAATACTGGTGCTGTCGCTGTTCAGCGATGACCAAGAAGACCCCACAAACAACCCTCCCTGGCATCTCGGCCATATATGCAGACTCTGGCGGTATTATGTGTCAACATATCCTGCTCTTTGGAGCTCCATCACTATCCCTTCTTCCCCCTCTTCGTCGGACCATCACCCTCTCATCTCCATGATCGAAACCCAACTTGTCCGATCCGCCGATACACTGCTGCGTGTTTGTTGGTCGCTGAACCCAGACAGACGCACAGCCGACCCTGGCTCGGTGGATTTAATCCTTGCACAGTCTAGCCGCTGGAAATCGTTGCTCTTGGATATTGGCTGTAACTACGATGGTGAGCTCCATTGGCTGCGTGCCGCCAATGGGCGCCTCGTTGCATTGGAAACGTTCGAAGTGAGAGGCAGTTATCAGGTCGAAATCCCGGATATCTTTTCGACCACCCCGAGTTTACGCAATGTGTTCCTCAGCAACTGGGTTTTCAAAGCCTCTTCGGCACCCGCAATTCCATGGGCGCAAATTACCCGTTACAGCGGGGCACTGGACATGGATTTGCAGCTGGAAATCCTTGAAGCTGCCCCCAATCTACTGTCTTGCACCATTTCCCTCACAGCTTGGGCTGATTATGACCGTGGCATGCCCACCGTGCTCCCGCGCCTTCGGCATCTGCGCATAGAAATGCCGGGATTTCTTCATCGTCTCGAAGCACCTCTACTTGAGGAGCTAGTCTGCCAGTACGGCAGAACCACAAGGGGCAGATCCGAGATTTTGCCCTTCATCCAGAGGTCGTCCTGCTCTCTCAAAACGCTCGTTCTCCGGAGATGCTCCATCGATTCCAATCTGGTTGCGGTCCTACAAAGTCTTCCAAGTCTCACAAATCTGGTTCTTGACAACAGGCACGAGCACGGGAACGTTAATTCGACACCTACGCAGATCGCCCTGCTCGATGCTCTCACAGGCGGCCTCTGCCCCAATCTTACCTTCCTAGCATACAGAGTTGGCCCGAAAGATGACGCACGCCATTTATTCGCTATGGCACGATCGCGGTTCCGACTAGAGCCCCCAAGGCCCCGCTTGACACAGCTGCGCCTTTTTGGGGGTTGGGCTTACGACATTGAGCGTTGCCCGCCACACATTGCGGTCGAAATTCAGATGATGTGCGACGAAGGCTTCGATGTTTGCTTTGTCGGCCCCCATGAAGCGGACCTTTTGAGAGGGAAAGGTGCTTTCCCTTGACTTAATTCAAGTCGGATGTGCCTGAAAAATGTGTGTATGCGATGGTCCGATATATACATCCATAATCGATTTATTGCTCATTTGTGCTGTATTGACCGAAACGCAACATCCCCGTACCCGCTCAGACCTGCTTCCTCCCGTGCCTGCCCATTGGTCGCCCCTGCCCGCCGCAACATCTCATGTCTCGCCTCTTTTATCCTTTGGATTTCCTTTCGCTGTAGATCTACCAGCCGTACATTTTCGACACCGCCGCGTTTCCATCCTAGGGAAGATGGTCGTCGGCACGAGCTCGAGGACGGCGAGGAGGGGGATAGTCGCTCGTTGAGAGGAAGAACTTGAACTGCGGGGAGGACGAGAGAAGACAGGAGGGCTGCAGGCACGCCTCTGGTGTAGCTGCGCAACAAAACAACCAGTCCCGCCCTCCCCACGCCCCAGCAGCTCCGTCGCTCACTCCGGGTTCCCCAGAGGCGAGAACCTCCTTCGCAACGTGCGTGACGACCTTGCGGTGCCTTCGGTATTCGCGCGCGCGGCAGATCGCACTCGCGCCGCCGCATGTTCGTCGCGCACAGAAACAGGTCGCCAATAGTCGTTTCTGCGCATGCGCGTACGCGCTTAGGCGCGCGACGGCCTGCTCGTACACGCCCTCAGGCCACTCGGAAAGGAGAGGCGGCGAGGCAGGGGTGGAGGTTGCGGTGATCAGGGTTACCTGGGTTGCTAGTGATCCGGGAAGAACGTCGAGCAGCGCGTGGAGGGCAAATCCGGTCTGCAGAGTTGCGGGCAGCGGTTCTTGGGCTGGTTGAGGAGAGCCCTTGGACAGTTGCGGGGACTTGCGCTCAAATGATCTCCGTTGGACGCGCAACAGAGGATTTAGAGCCTCTACATTCCGCTGGATCAGCGAAAACATAGACACTCGAACGAGACTCGTGCATGCAAGCTCCCCTCGTGCAGCTCGCCGTCATCGCTCTGCACGGCCTTTAGCACACTCAGGACGATTTCGGCAAGGACGGACGCGATTTGCGTGGCATTTCAAAAGACAGCGTCCTCGTCCCCGCTCGCCTATTCTTCGGCGGCTCGCTTGCCACGCCCCAAGCGTACGATTCTTTGAGTATTCTGTCGGCGTTGGTACAGTCCGCCACCTATTGGGGCTGAACGTGTTTTCTCCACCCCTCCGCAGTCTGAGTCTTGTCCGTCAGTCGCTCTACAACGGCGCGCGCGATCGAGTCGTTGGAGTCGTCGAACCGCGAGCCGCCTCAGATGATGCATCCGCCCGCCGAACGACCACACGATAAACCCGAAGATCGACCGTGATGTTTCACTCGATAGAATGTATTCGGCGAGAATAGGGAGGTGGTTAGGATTGCGGAAAAGCCTCGAGCGCTTTCAAAATTGCCAGAGATGATGTGCGGACCCTTGTCGACTTGCATGGAATCGATTCTGCGGTCGGCATATCGAGATCTCCGTTAATCGCAGCGTAGCGTCTCCGCTTGTCATAGTTTAGATGACTTGTCGGACATCCTTGCCAGATATTTAGCGCTCATTGACTTCCACTGGCCTGCGGGGCGGCCGAAGGTGGCAGCTTGGGAAGTGCTCTAGAGCTGGAGGCTAGATGCTTCTACGCCAAACTTCTTAGCATCCAGCGGTGGAGGATAGACGAGACGTGAATCCGTGTATAGACCGAAAAACACGAATCCCAGTAGAATTCAAGTTCGACACAGTTACAAGAATGTTGTTATTGACAACGTTTTGCGTAGAGACCCATACAGTCCATTCGGCCGCTAAGCGCGCGCAGTTCTCAGTGAGCACGGCCTTGATCATTCTGTCGAGTTTGTTGCCGGAGATGGATTCCGAGGTGGTGTGCGTCTGGATGAGGATTGTGTAGACGAAGAGTAAGTCGATATTATAGGACCACAGGAACTTCGTAGACGTGGTGGCTTAAGACAAAAGTCAACCTTTCGAGTGACGTGTGTTTCCGTTCTGCGGCGCCCTACTCTATGCCTCCGCCTCCGCCGCCACAGTCTTCTCCTTCTCTCCCTCCTTAGCACCCGCCGGCGCCGGCGCACTCTCCTCAATCTTGATATTCTTGATAAAGAACGCCGCCCCCAACGCCAACCCCGCCACCGGCACCCCAGCACAAACACAATCCGCAGCGCCGCCGCATAGCTACGCACCACGCCGGGGATCATCTCCGGCGGCAGCGCGCTGTATATCGCTGTCGGGCTTTCCTTGACGATCTCCAC